GTCTTAGATCTTTGAGCTCAGCTCATGAAAAATGGGGGCAAAAAAAATAAAATATATATATATATCAACAGGTTACTCACCACTGCGATCTGCCAGTCCTCCATGTATCACCCTTGAAATAAAAATATTCCCTGTTTTTTCATTCTTCCTAATAGTTGCCTCCTGAAAATGGGAAAACAGACAAAAATGGTCAACTAGTTGGTTGTCCATTACAACAGGCGTAACATGGTAAGTCCCACAGACGATCTTACTGCTGCACATGAGTGGAGGGAGGCTGTGGGTGCAATGGAGATCACGTTTTGATGAAATTTTTAGGAGGGCGGAAACTGTGGTAATAATATTGTGAAATCCAGTCAACATGCCTGACTTGACCTAAACTAAAAGTGTGACAAAGGTCAAAGAGGAACTTATGGGAAAGACACATAGGGTTGATGAAAGGAGCTTCAGATGAAGAATGTAGAATGTTGAATGAAGTGTTTTTATTTGAATGCAAGGAAACGTTTTACTTTTGAACAATGTTGACAAGCAGCAATCAAATGAAATGTTCCATGAATCTTGAGTGTGGTTGGGATGAACAAGAGATACAATAAAGAAAAAGAACAAGTAATTGCCTGCTTGTTGGATAGTTCCATTGTAGAGAACATCGCAGCATTCGGTAAAATCAAAACCAGCAATTTCAGCAAAGAGTAAAGTGAAGAGAGAGAAGTGGGAACACAGTCACTCTTATTTCCTCATCTTTGACTTTTTCTTCTTGCTAGAGAGGCACAGTATTGTATTACAGTCATCATTAGGAATGGAGGCCGTCAAACCATTTGATAGGGAAGTCTGTCCAGTTTTACTTCCTGGTGTTACAGACCTGTTTCCGGTCTGGCATGATGAAGACTTGCAGGGGTTGCAGTGTGGTGCTACATAAGGAACATTCGTGTTACAGTTTAGAGAAAAGGAGGAAAACGGCGATGCAGTTGAGGATGAAGATGATGAGGAGGAGGATGAAACACAAGGAGCGTTGGCTGGTGCAATCAGCTGGCCAGGCAAGTTGGGCCCGTTTGCCGTTTTTGAGACGTGTTGGGGTCTGCAAGTCACTTCTGGAGACTTGCTGGCAATAATAAGACCCTGCAGTTTGTCCACCACTTCCACCAACAGACTCAATGCCTTGGCGTTTTCCTCCACACTGTCCGTCATTCTCTCTGTTACCTCTACCATCTTCTGCCTGAGATCTTGAGCTTCGCTGATGCTCTGGTCCATACTACTGGCAACGGTATGGACAGCTGACCTCAGCTCATCCAGGCTGTGTTGCTTCGTGAACACCAGAGCTGGATGAGAAGAGCAGGTGGCACCTATAGTGTGGTGCCGTTGAAGCAGAGGGCTGGAGGGGGCTGTCTGGGAATGGGGGCCACATCCACGAGGGCAGTATGAGCGTGGGTAGGCTAGAGATGAGGTGCTGCAAGCTGTGCATGTACGGTGTTGATCTTCGATTATGGTTTTTACACCACCGGCACAGTTCTCTTTAAGTTATGAAGGACAAAACAGGATAGATTAGTTTGGTTTCACGTTTAAACACAGTAAGACAGTGTCTGGCCTTGTCAGGCAAACAGTAGATGTCTTTTGGACAGGATGAGCCTTACCCATAACCACAGAGTCATAAACAGTCGGAGCTGAGAGGTTCAGACTTCCTCCCGTGAGATGGGCAGTTTGGCAGCCCAGGTTGCAGCTCGCAGTAGACTGATACCTGGGCAGTGAGTGTGGCTGTTCTGAGGACAGCAGACCAGTGGAAGATGACAGAACGCCTGCAGACCCCAGAAGACTCTGTTCCCCTGAGCCAAAACGCCTGGCTAAAGCCAGTTTCTCCACTGTGAGTCGCCTAAGGCTGTTCCAGTAACTGGGCTTCCCCTCTTTGACACACTTATAAGTGAGAAAACAGGATGAGCATGCTAACCAACAAACATTAAACCAAGACAAATCTTGGGGATCTTACAATATGGCAAAATAATAGACAAGTAAAAGCACATTCTGTTGCAATGACAACATGACCTGTCTTTACTGGGATGGAACTGGATATGGGCTAAAACAGGAAGTTATCTCTCTGAAGGGGATTATTTTGTGACAACAACCTTCTGGATTTACATTATTCCCCTTATTATGTTTCTATCTGCCACAAAGGTAAATAACTGGACAAAAGTATTGATTTGAGTTAAAGCTTCAGTGAAGAAAAACTTTTCCAAGACGAACAAAAGAGATGTTACTCTTGATATGTTTTTCATTATGGTTTGGTTTAGGGTTAGTTGCATATAATTATTTATACATCATGTAACGTATAACATGGAGACTGTAAAATAAAGTGTTACCCTTTTTCATTTCACTGTAACATCCATCTAGGAATAAACAGCATTGTAGATTATAACACAGCACCGTGATCATAAGAATGAACACTGAAGTTCAAAACCAGAGGTAGGATCGGTGGGTTTTGTATTTATGTACTAAAATAAGACTCAAACATCTGATCTGAATAGGTTTTAAAACCTGTTATTACGTAACCATACAGATCTTACCATAGATGAGAGAAAATATTTTATGCCATATACCCTTTACATGATATTGCACTGTAGTGCAACGAGGGACATTTAAGTGGGATTACAGCTAAGCTGTTCAGTAACATATCTGAAATTGCGGTGCTATTTATGATTTCATGCTTACCAGAGGCTGTTTATTCTTCACAAGGCAAACAATCCTTATGGCCTCTTCATTGTCAGGCAGTTTGTCAGGAAGAGGCGGCAGCACTGGACCGTAGTCCCTCTGGGCCACAGAATCATGAGCAGAGAGCAAAGCCTGGGGAGAAATACATAATAAAAGGTAAAAAAGACTGACCTAAATTTTATTTACATAAATGCACCATAATCAAATTGTTATAATAGCAATAAATGCAAACCAAATTAGACTCTAACCTGCATATGAGGGCATTTCAGCAGAATATAAAGTTCTTGTGCTTCAGAGGAGGGAGCAGCCAGTCCTCGCACACTGGCCATAATCTGTGGGACAGCAGAAGACCGATGATGAAAAGAAAATAGAGGCTGATAGGATTACTTCACCTGGAAATTAAAATATTCGAATCATTTACTCACCCTTACTGTATGCATGACTATAGAAGACTTATAATATACTATAGTGCTCAAATCATCATTTACTCACACTCATGAGTAGTTTTAGTAGACTTGGAATACATGGTTTCACAATTAATTATACACTGTAAAACCAGATGAGTTAAAGTAATTCAAACCATTTGAAAAAAGTTCACTGTACTTGTAACAATCGTTTTAAGAATAAATAATCAAAATAACAGTTAACCCATATCCAGGTGGCTAGCAATAGCACAAACACATGTTAATATAATTCTAAAGACTATCACTCTAATGTAGTGTGAAGTTATTCCTTTTTAAATAAACTTTCTTAATGTGCAAAAACACAAAATAACACTTCATTTGAACATTTAGTCTCCTTTAACAGCCTGAAGCAAGGCATGATGGGAAAATGAAATCTGCTGAAATCAGTCAGTTCCAGGTCTGCTTAATATAATCAGTGAGTTCACATAGCTTTTTACTATTAAATACACTGAACGCCCTGTAGTCTTTGACTAACATGAACATGTTTCATTGATTAAATTTGATTGTTTTATGGCATTATATATGACATGAGAGTTTCATATGATTGATGACTGCAGGAAGGATCATAGATTATGACATCTTTGTAAATTAGCCCTTCAAAGCAAAGTCGGTAATAAAATGCATTGACTGACCTCCTGAGATAGTCTCGAGGAATAAGACAGGTATGGGTTTGGGGCATCTCCACTGTGCTGCACCAGACACTCATATACCTACAGGAAATATCAAATCCTTCATGTGCAAGACAGCTGCAAATTCTTTACACACAGAGTCCAATGACCTGCCCTGGGATAATGTCAAAAGTGGATAGTCATAGGTATAAGTATTGAATGAGCACATCATACCCTGAGAAGAGAGTAAAGCCAAGGAGCACTAAGGAGACTGTACAGAAGATCGGCACCGTTAATGTCTCTGTCTATGGACAGTCTCACTTCCTCTACCACTTCTGTCAAGATCTGAGCCAAACCTACATCTGTGAAAGAGAACAAGACTCAGTTTTCTGTAGTATTTGATTTGCTGGTTTACCTTTGTGCATGTCAAGGAACAACATTACTGTTCTGTGTATTTGCAAGGACGCACCATTGTCATCATGTCCAGGTTGCATCACGGGATCCTCCTCCATTGATTGCCGCAGGACAAATTTCTCTGTTCATCAGATCACTGCAATCCTATAAAACAAATCAATGTTAAGAGTACAAGGGTGTAACCTACATTTCTGCTGTAGAATTATAAATTATAAGTGCAAAACTGGCAGAACCATTGCACGTTGGCTACAAATGATATTTTAAAGAAACAAGAATGTTTGCTTAAAAAAAACTTAAGCTTCAACTGGTCATTTTGATTCCGTATTCCTAACATTTTCAAGTGCCTCTAACTGAAAATAAATTGAAATAACCTAATGAGAAGGAAGGATTATTTAGGAAAAAATAATGCTGGAATAAATAATTCACCTGCTATGAAACAAAGCAATGTCAACAACAAGAACATAATTTGCATTTCTGCTGCAGAATCATAAATTATGAGTGTAAAACTGGCAGGAACATTACAGAGTTAGCTGATTACAGTGTTTTAAAGTACACATTATAATAGCTTCTACTTGTCATTTTAATGAACGATTACGAACACATTTAAGTGTCTCAAACTAAAAAAATTACACATTATAAACATATTAAAATACATAAATTTGAATAAAAATGTTCTAATGAAAATACACGCTTAAAAAGAAACCCATTTACTTTATAGCCTTTAATCTGGAGATAGCCTATGTTAGATATAATAATATAATGGTTAGTCAGTGTCTTTTGTTAGAAAGATTGTCTACAATTAAAACATCTCAAATGGAAGTCATCTGGAAACTATTTCATCCATTTTTAGAATGAAATGACACATCGACTGTGATCTCTGAACTCTGCTACAACAGCAGGTCAAGAGGCCATCATGTGAAGATTAGATTATGATGCTACACTTACCTTCTTACACTCCTGCCACTGTTTTCCTCCAAACCACACTGAGGCTTCTTCATCCTGCGTTTAGACCAGGTAGCTGTGGAGCATCTTGTCAGTTTAGCTTTATATTAAGATGATCTTCTGCTTCTGGCCTGACAACATGCATGTTATTTTACTATAAAATGTCTCTGGAAACTCAGATTGTAATCCTTTTCTATCCCAGTTAATCCTGCGAGGGGCCGGCCTCTCTAGGCGAGCACTTCCATAGGACCGCCTGCCACTCAAAGCTTCTTACCTCCTCCTGCTTTTAGAGCTCCATAGACACACTCACACTTACACAATACGCCCTACCAACTTTACAGAAAAAATGGAAAATAAGATTAATAAAAAAACATCACATAAATCCACAAAAAACTCATGACATTTATCGTTACACAATAGACAACGATAAAAACAATGCCAGTCAACTTAACAACTTAATAACAACTGCAATCAAATGAATAAACACTAAATAGACAGAAAAAACATTTCATGAAGCAATGAGCATTATTTTAAAGGAACAGTTCATCCAGAAACTCTCAGGTCATCCAAGATGAAGAGGAGTTTATTTCTTTATCCAAAAAGATTTGAAGAAATGTAGCATTACATCACTTGCTCACCATTTGATTCTGTGCAGTGAATGGGTGCCATCAGAATATGAGCATAAACATCTGATAAAAACATCACAATATGACGTCACAAAAGTCTAATACAGGTTTCTAACAAACAAATAAATCATTAAGGTGTTTTTAACTTCAAACTGCTGCTTCCGGCTAAAATATGAGACCGACTATAGTATTGCTTTCTTCTGAAAAAGCTGTCTCGTCTGAATTAGGAGAGAAATACGCACAAATCAAGAACTCTTTACAAGCAAAAACAATACAAAACAGTTCTAAACAAATATGTTGGTGCATTTTGATGTGAGAGGACAACGGGGGTTGGACTAAAAATTATTATGGACTTAGTCAGAAGTGAGAAAAACGTCTTGATGAATGTGTTTCTTACAAACAAGCAGCTTTTCACTTCACAAGATGTTAATTGATGGACTGGAGTTGTGTGGATTATTGTGATGTTTTTATCATTTGTTTGGGCTCTCATTCTGACGGCACCCATTTACTGCAGAGGATCCATTGGTGAGCAAGTGATGTTATACTAATGTTCTCCAAATCTCATCTGATAAAGAAAAAAAAATCCTCATCTTCATTTTGAATGGCCTGAAGATTTTTTCAACTGTAAAAAAGTCAGAGCTGTAATCCAGGACATCACATTGCTGATAGTCACAGATGTTACTTTACCAGAGCTAATGGTCTTAAATTGAACCTCATCAACTCTTTCTATTACCTATATTATTATCAGTTCATAACTATACAAGCAAGGTGATAGAAAGGATTATGCCATTTTTATTAAAATAGTGAAAGTAGTCTGCCAGAAAACTGTTTACAAAACAGTTCAATCATTGCTTTTTCATATGATTTCAATTACAAATTGTGTTGTCAAACCGTGTTGAACAAATTAATTTTCAAGGTGACAGTACATTTAGATCAACAATGACAGTAATGTATCAAAACCAGTAATCTTCTGAAAAAAAAATAAAAAAATTAAATCAGCCTTTATATTTAACAGTAAAGGTGCGGTTGTCTTTTTGATCTTCATAAGCAATCCTTAGCCAATAACAATGACCTAACTAGTGACAAACTGAAATACTGGGAGGATGATTAATCAGACAATAATATAATTTGCAAATAAAGGCACTAGCAAATAATTAGCTGGTTGTAATTTTTGGATATTCAAAGATTTTTTTTTTTAATTTAGAAAATTATTCTATAAAGTTATTGTTTCATTTCTTATTAGCAAGTCATATGCACATCCTCCAACCAGATCTTACAACAAGGCTGTGTGACATCAGCAAAATTCAGTGCATGTTCAAATGTACAAAAGATGCATTTAGAGGTAAACACACACACACGCGCGCGCGCACACACAGACACACAAACACGCACACAGAGATTCATGAATAAAGGCATTCGTGAAACAAGCAAAATGTGAAGGTTATTGCTACTTTTTCCAGTGCAAAATACTAAATGCTGAGGTCCTTTAGGGGCCCTGCCACTTACATTTTTACTCCCTTATTGCATAGTGTTGAATGCCACATTTTCAGTAAACAGCAAATAGGCATAAAAAATATTACTTTAGTCTTCAGTATATTAGTTCTAAAAATGTCTTAAAGGGGTCATATGATGCGATTTCATTTTTTCCTTTCTC